TCACGAAGCTGCTGAGGGGACAGGGTCTCACGACTGCGCTAAACTGCTGGCGCGGACCACCACCGGACCCACTCCTCTGCGCAGAGCCGCGACCAGCTCCACCGCTGCCGCCGCCGCCTCCGCCACCTCCGCCGCCTCCGCCACCTCCGCCGCCTCCGCTCCCTCCGCCACCGCCGCCGCCTCCTCCGCCTCCACTGCTGCCACCGACACCTCCACCCCCGCCACCACTCCCACCACCACCCCCACCCCCTCCACTGCCTCCACCACCACCCCCACCACCCCCGCCAGCCCCTCCAGCGCCCTTGCCCCCCTTGCCCTTGCCGGTGCGGCGTCTCCTGCTAGGGGTAGACGCAGCGCCGACCGACTCGAAACCAACGAGGTCGGCCGCAGCAGCAGAGGCAACAGAGGGCAAGAGGGGGGAAGGGGAACACCCCTCAAAGACGGGGGTGCGAGGGTCACCACGAGAGGCTCCTACAGCGACTATGCTCTTCTCTGCTGCTAGGAGGCGCTCCTCGAGGAGGTCAACGGTGAGTGTGGTGGGGCAAACTGAGAGGAAGTGGTCCCTGACTAAGCGAAGGGAGTCAGGGAGCCGGGTGACTATGTAGTAGAGGGTGATGTACATGGGGGGGGGGGGTTCTTGGCACAGAACTCAGTAGGAAGCGCAGCGCGGTAGCGAGTGTCGCTAGTGCGAAGGTGCGTAATGAGGTCAGCGACTGTGGGAAAGGCAGCAAGGTCAGGGAACAGGTACGGTAGCATGAGGCGGCTAAGCGCAGCAGTGGCAGGGGAAGAGTAGCGTGCAACTACAGCGTCGTACAAGGTCTGAGCACTCTTGTACTGGCTAAAGTGCGCACGCTCAGTGGTCGGTAAGTGGCGACGCACAGCAAGACGGGCAGCAGCATCGCGTGTGGCCCACTGTGAGCGAACAGTGCTGTCAGCAGTAGCAGGCGGGGCAGGAGAGGCAGCAGAGGTGAGATCGAACAGGGAGAGTCCGTCTGCCCTATCGCACTGTAGGAACAGCTGGAGGTCATCGACCCAGACCTCAAAGTCAACAGCACGACCCTCAGCATCAAAGGTAAGGACACTGGGGGTAGCCATGAATGCAGTGGCCTAGCAGGGAGTGATCTCACCAGTCCGAGTAAGTAGGGCCGGGGCGCGCCGATAGGAACAGTAGCGGCTCGACGGTAGGGCGGCTCGGCGGCTCGGCTGCTGGGCGGGTCGGCGGCTCAGCGGCTCGGCTGCTCGGCGGCTCGGCGGCTCGGCTGTTGGGCGGCTCGGCTGTCGGGCGGCTCGGTTGCTGGGCGGCTCGGCGGCCCGGCTGCTGGGCGGCTCGGCGGCTCGGCTGTTGGGCGGCTCAGCTGCTGGGCTGCTCGGCGGCTTGGTGGCTCGGCTGCGCAGCTGCTGGGCGGCTCAGCGGTGAAGGGGCCGGTAGAGGCGGCGACGGGGCCAGTAGAGGCGGCGACGGGGCCGGCAGAGGCGGCGATGGGGCCGCTAGGGGCGGCGACGGGGCCGCGTAGGGAGGGGAGCGGCGACGGGGCCGCGAGGGGCGGCTACGGGGCCGCGTAGGGGCGGCGTCGAGGTCGCGTAGTGGCGGCGACGGGGCCGCGTAGGGAGGGGAGCGGCGACGGGGCCGCTAGGGGCGGCGACGGGGCCGCGTAGGGGCGGCGACGGGGCCGCGTAGGGGCGGCGACGGGGCCGCGTAGGGAGAGAGGCGGCGACGGGGCCGCTAGGGGCGGCGACGGGGCCGCTAGGGGCGGCGACAGGGCCGCGTAGGGGCGGCGACGGGGCCGCTAGGGGCCGCGAGGGGCCTGGAAGGGCGGCGACGGGGCCGCCAGGGGCGGCGACGGGGCCGCTAAGGGTGGCGCGAGGGGCCGTGAGAGGGGCCTCTAAGAGAGTTCGACAGAAGGGCGGCCCACAAGGCGCGCCTCGGGCAGGAGCGACTGACGCTCCGGTCAGAAAAAAAATTTCAGTGGTGGGCCCAAGGAAGCGTTCCCACTAGGGAACCTGCTCTATACCTTGTGAAGAAATGAGGAATGAATGAACTAGGAAAGAGCTGGGTACAAGTAGGAAAACCTAGAAATGTTGTACCCCATATTGTCTACCCCACTACAGCCTACACAGACTATAGCATATGAGTTTGACATTAATTAGTCATTAACCCGATCACAAGTCTAGTTTAGAGAACAATGTTGCCCTGCGCATTTTATGTAGGGTATGAAATGTTTGCTTTTTACTGTCTGATTGTTTAGAGCCCGGTAGTCGCATATTCGTAAACTACCGTATGCCTTGGGAGTTAATAGATTCGGCGCGTCGTAGGCGTCAGCAGCCCGTCGTCAGTCACGGACGCCACCCCCAGAGCCTCTTTGCCTCAACCTCCCTCGCACAGTGGCAACCGTAGCAGGGCACGCGACGGGTGCGACTGGTGCAACAAACGCGCGGTAGGTGTGAGAACGGTAGGCGCGATTGGCGCGGCAGTGTCGAGAGACCTGCACTGGGGATTCCCGATTGATCCTACGAGGGTTACAGACATGTTAGCCCGGGGGGGTTTGGGCGCAGTGACCCGCATTTGAAACAAACCTTTTTATCCCAATGGTCTAGTGGCTGGGATTCTGACATAGTATCAGAGCGAAATATCTCGGGTTCGAATCCGCGTGTATGCACATGCTGAAAAATGCGTTGTATCGTGTCCTGGGCCTCCAAGTATGGGGGGGGTGTCGAGAGACATGCATTGGGGATCCCCGTTTGATCCTAGGGGAGTTGGGGCATATTACCTTGATGGGGGTTTGGGCGCACTAACCCGCATTTAGAACAAGTTTTTTTTTCCCAGTGGTCTTGTGGCTGGGATTTTAACAGACAGGTATGCAGGGCCGCAGCGGGGCGAGTCGGGAAGGATCAGGGACGGCCGTGCTACATTTCTTAACCGTATCGCCGGGTAACGTAGCCGTCGGACTATAGGCCGTGACGATCGCCACCGCAGTTGCGCAGTTCGCTTGGAGCTATCAGTGAGAACGCCGCCATAGTAGCAGGCTCAATGAACTTCCCGATCTAGATAATTTGTCAAGATCGCTCTAAAAGGTTTAGTTAGGAGCTTGAAAATTAGGAAGGGGAAAGAGAGGTTTCACTAGAAAGTAAGAGCACGAAATACAAGTAGGCAGCAGTGGGTAATATGTATAATCAATAGTTGTAACAAACTGGCTATGCTAGTGTGTACGAAGGTAATATATATATACGTATATATGAAATATATATTTTTGTAGCGATCAGAAGTTGATCGTAACCAGGATCACCTCATGGAGGTTCGCACGCTGCTAGTTTAGTGGTGGTGGGCCCTTGACCTCAATAGCAGAGTGAATGTAAATGCTTGAGATGATAAAAACATGCAGTACAAAGAATATAAATAAGAGTACAGGGGAATTCGAAACGACCTAGCTAGCCATGTACTCTAAGGAGTACATTCCCTTATTGCAGTGAAATTCCACCGTGCGACTTCGGGTGGTTACGAAACTGTTCGGGCAAAATCCTCGCCACTGCTGCTGCCTGATGCTGTCTGCCCGACGGTTCAGATGCTATCGTAACCGTGCGACCTTTCGTGTTACCTCCGCCCTTTCGACTTCGTTCTCGATAGTGTGTGCTTCGATTGCTGCGGTGAGGAGTATACAATAGTGTTTCAATAATCACTATTCGTAACAATTTTGACCTAGGCAGCCCCGGTGTATGTGAAATCGGCCAAACGTGCACTTCGAAAATTGGCGTTGTACTCGAAGCAGTAAAACCTTGTTAAGGAGAAACTTTTAAGCTTACTATCTGTTGTAGAAAAGGTATGGGAAAACATGTCAATGGTAACTTACATGGGACACTATAACGCGTACGGTAATGATTTCAACGCGTTTAGTAACTTGCTTAACGCGTTTGGTAACTCGCTTAACACGTTTGGTAACTCGCTTAACGCATATGGTAACTTATGACTGTGTTTTCACGCATTTGGTAACTCGCATGACGCATGTGTGATCACGCCCTAAGAGTGTTGGTGGTTTCGACTCAAAGCTTGATCGCCATATTTCCATCGGGTTCCAGGAAGTTCGCAATTTCCGTTTCGCACAGGGGCTTAGAGAAACTGCTGGTAACCGCCCTCTCCGACACTAAGGTACCCAACCCTGCACTGCCACGTAGCCCTCAACTCAACCTCCAGGTGGTTCGTCGGTGTTGCTGCTGAGCTGACACCATTCCTACACCAACGGACGGAGACGAACCGAAGCGCGGGCAAGAAGAAGCCGAAAGAAACCGCGCGAAGGCTCTGACTGCTGGCGACGCGGGCCGGTCGAAGCGCGCGATAAATTCACTGCCCCCGCCTACGGCCAGCCGAGCATGAGAGGGGGGGAGAAATTGGCAGGCCCGGGACGGGAGATAGAATGACTGTTTTGACAAATCTAACGTGGAGGAACGAGGAAGACAGAGGAGACGCCTGCCTGAAGCACCGTTTGCCTCCCATACAAGTGCCAACAGGGAGAAGTGCATCCTTGCGTGTGAAGTGGAGCCTGAGGAGCTTGCTGCTGCTCAAGGCACTCCCAACCTCGGCCGACTCGCCGTTTTATCTTCCAGGTCCACTCTTGTCGACCATATCTGCTAGCTTTGAATATGCTCCCGTCACTCGCAGTCCTCAAAGGTTAGTTCTGCAAGCAAACGTAAAAGAATATGAAAAATTCACCCTTTGTACTACGACGTCCCGAGATGCGTCGACTAAATATGGTAGCTACTCCCACCATAGCCTGCAACCGAATCTAAGAAGCTCGAATTCGGATACTATCAATACTGCAGCTAAATGAACTCCTAGTGTAGGCACCTGAAACCGGCCCAGAAGAACGGCCAGCCACCTGTAAAGTTGTAAGCCATCAAATTCGAAGACTCTCCAGTCGACTTTGACAAGACACTGGAAAAACCGGTGCATATACTTCCTCAAATCTCATACACTCCCTCAAACCGAATATTCTCCATATCTGCCGGCGATGGACTTTTCGCCAGCCTTCGCCACGGGGCCTCCCAGCTCCCTCCATAAGCCTTCCGTCGCGGGGCGAATAGGCAACTGGCGAGCCCGGGCAGATGAAGGTTTTCTCATGCTGCCCATTCCCGAGGAGGCCGAGCTCGTAGAGATGAGCGCGGAGGCGGGTGCCTCGCGCGCGGCATGGCGCGCGCAGGCGCTGCTGGGGATAATCCTGGGGGAGAAGGACAGCGCGTCGTTCAAAGAGGCGGAGACGAAGGGCGGCAGGGCAGCAGCGGGGGGAGCGGGGATAGAGTGGGGAGCGGGGGACAAAGGCGAGGTGGCGGAGGCGGAGGCGGAGGCGGAGGCTGCGGCTGAGGCTGCGGCGACGGCTGCGCTACGGCATGCTATGGCAGGGGCGACCAAGGACGCTTCGACACGTGTACTTAGCGACTCCGCCGGATATAACGACACCAGCAAACCCGGCGTCGCCGCATGCGGCGGTGACGGCGGCGGCGGCGGCGGCGGTGCTGGTAATAGTAGCGTCTCGCGGTGGCGAGCTATCGCAGCTGCTATGCTGGGTAAACGGGCAGCGGAGCAGCCCCCGCCGGCAATCCCAGCGTACGACGCTCGCGCAGCGATGGAAAATACGCTGAAGGCGGAACACGACTACGCGCGCTCGCCGAACACATTCGAGGCGGCGCAAGGGGCTGCCCACGCGGATTCCCACCAGCCCAGGGGAGGCGGCGGATGGTGGTCCGCCTGGTTCGGGGACAACGGCCGGGGCAGCGCGGAGCACGGGCGGCACTACGGAAGGATGGCGCAGCAAAGTCAGGCGGAACTGCACACAAAACCAGATGCGGCCGCGGCCGTAGCGCACCAATCGGTGTACGCCACGAAACCACGCGAACTTGAGTTGAGCAATCCGCCGTCCCCGTTTTCCGTCTCCCCGCCGTCGTCTGGCGCGTGCTCTCCGCCCACCTCCGCTTCCTCCTCGTCCTCCTCCGCATCCTCCCCCGAATCTTCCGCCTCCGCGCAAGAAGGCGCTCCGCCAGAGCCCTGCTACTTGCACGAGGATGGCCGGGCGGGCGGGAGCGGGGCGGAAGGCGGCGGTAGCAGCGAAGGAATCGGAGAAGGGGAGGCGGGCGAGCGGAGTAGGCCAGACGCGGAAGCCCCTGTGGTTGGCTCGTTCATGGGCTTCGCCATGCGCGGAGCAGCCGGAAGCGCAGCGGGTGCGGACGGCAGAAGCGGAGGCGGAGGCGGAGGTGGAAGCGGAAGCGGAAGGGGACAGGCTTGGGGTTGGCTCGAAGGGGAAGAGGCGGAAGGGCAGGTGCAAGCGGACGTACGCGCTATAGAGAACCAACAGCACGCGTTAAGGCATGCCCTGGAGCGCGCGCAAAATCGCCGCGGGGAAAGTGCTGGAGGAGGAACCGCGCAGGTTGGGGCGGAAGGCACAACTGGCGCAAGCGCGGCGGAAGCGGTAGGACCCGCGGGCCTCCCCGCGAATCTTATGACCGCGTGGCGAGAAGCTTGTGTCGAGTCTGAGGAGGATAGGCTGGGCGGAGCGCATGTAGCACGACGTAAGGACGTCGACGGTAACGTTTTCAGTTACGGTTATGGTTACGGTTACGATCGCCCCGTTTGTTCCGCCGCGGGAACGACGCCTTCCGATGGGAGAACCTCCCTCCGTAATCCGCGAAGCGTCGCCGTGAAACCCGGCGGCGCGAAAAACTCCCTCTGGCTGGGGGTCAAATCCTGGGCCGCGTCGCGATCTGCAGCGCGGAGGCGAGCGGCGGCCGTCCCGCGAGCGCAGCGGGAGGGGGAGTGGGCCGTGTGGGGGATCGGGTTCGCGGTGTTTGCGCTGGTGAACGTGCAGCTCATCACCGGGTGCGCGCTCCTCTGGCTCTGCCTCCCCGAGGCGTGGTCCGCCACCGCGCGCGCGGCAGTCGCGGGGTGCGCCAGCGCGCTCGTGGCGGCGCAGCTCGTGGGGAACGTCGTCGTGGCGGCGTTTGCGCGCGCGGCCGTGCTGCGGGAGTTTCTCAGGCGGAAGATGAAGGCCGCGGGAAAGGCGCAAGGGGTGGCGGTGGGGGGCCGGCGGGGCGCGGGGAGGGCGGAAGATGGCGAGGCGGCGGAGGTCGCGGGGAGGAAAGAGGCGGTGGCGGCGTGCGGAGTGGCGTGCGCGCTGGATGTGGAGCAGCTACTGGCGGAGCAGGGGGAAGGGGGAAACGATGGCGGGGACAAGCAAATGATGAAGGTAGGCTGGGGCTAAGGGGAGGAACCTTCTCAATGCTTATTCAGAACCTTTGCCAAAGAAGGTACTCATCGAAACTACATACTGAGCAGTCTTGATCGTGCATGATGCATCTCTTTCCTCCCACTTCCCTCCGCCTCTTCCGCCTTCCCCCTTCCCCGTTCCACCTTTCGCCTTCCCCCCTCCCTTGCAGGGCTTCCACTCGCGGCCTCTGCTGGTGTACAAAGCGGAGCAAAGCACCCAGCCTTGTTGCGAACCCGCCAGCACCGCACCAACAAACTCCGACCCTTACTCTGCTCCCTCGCCTGCTGTCACGGCTGCAGCTGCCGCTTCCGCCTCTGCTGCTGCGTCAGCAGCAGCTGCAGCAGCTGCAGCAGAGCCACCGAGCATCAGAAACGGCAGCAGCGGCACTGCTGCAAACGGCATAAGGGAGGAGGCCGGTGGCAGCAACCGCGGCGGCGGCAGCGGCGGAAGGGGGGAGGTGGCGGAGGAGGCGGAGGAGGAGGAAGGGCGGGTGATGGCGGTGGACTTTGTGGTGACAGACGTGGTGTCGCGGGTGTCAGTGGTGGTGCGCGCACAGCACGCAGCGGAGAGCAGCGCCCTTGAGATGGTGCGGCTTCCTAGTGCCAGGCGACGGGCGCGCGGCGAGCCATCCAGGTGAGCAACACAGCACGTTGTGGAAGGGTGAGTGGTGGGAGGAGATGGGTGGGAGGAAATGGGTGGGGGGAGGTGGATGGCGAGCCATTTAGGTAAGAAATGCGCTGGCGAGAGGTTTGGTGTGCAGAAATAGTATTCTGCTGGGTTCCATTCCATGCAGCTCTTCTGTTCCACTCATCATGCCTTCCTTTGCACACAGCCTTCTTCTAAACCACTCCCCACCCCCCTTCCCCTCCCTTTCCACCCATCCTGCCCGCATCATCTCACACCCCTTTTCCTTCTCTCTCCTCCCCCGCACCCACCGTCTGGTGCATGCAGGCCATTGACAGCAGTGCGAGAGGGCGATGTGGTAACTGCAATTGGGAGCGCCGAGCGGGATCCATATACAGGCACGCTGCAAGTAGTGCCGCTGGTGTATCCGCGTAACATCTCCACCTTTGCGCTACTCTTCGGTTGTCTTCCTTTCTACTTCCCTGTGGTTGTTGGCCGAAAACTCATCGTGGCGTCCCTGTGAGCGTGGTATTAACAGCAGCTGACATATGGCCAAGGTGAATACGTGCACTGCATGCTGACCAAGAATGTAGCTGAGTTAGAGCAAGATTTTCCATGACCTCGTGAAGGCTCATGAAGTCGAATAGTGACGAGGTTGGAGATTGATGTTAGTTCTCCTTTCGTGCATGCTTAGCAGATAGCTAGGTACATGAGTTTCTTGGTGTGATCTGATGTGTCCACACTTTGATATAGCAAATGATTTTTGCTTCTTTTGTTTCCTTGCAAGTGGTCCTCTTTTCATGCCACATTCATAGAGCATTATGTTGGAAACAATTATGGTTAAGCGCCTCTGTCGTGTCGAAACACTAAGGCACAAGCGAAGCAAAGCATATCGAGGCACCAGCGAGTCAACCCTCGGAGGTTGAAGTAACTGCTGGAGGTTACGCGAAAGTCAAAGGTCAGCGACCTTTGACCTGACAAGTACAGCGCGACAGCAAGGACACACAACTGACTCACTACAGAGCAGTTGCCCGAGTCGTCACTGTATCGAACCGCAACAGCAACAGTAAAACAGTTATAACCGTATCCTTTCATATTCCTTGTACTCCTATATAATCTTGTATCTCTTTGTTTTAATCAACTTACTTTGAAGTGTGCAAGAGGTGGGTGGGAACAGGAAGAGGGTAGAAAGCGGTTGGGTGTTCAGGGTAGGGTTGAGAGGAGTAGAAAGGGTTGGAGCAGTGATAAGGGATGCACAATCAACATGCGCTTCAATGGTTGGCCACTTTGAGCCAAACAACTCCTCACGACCCTGCATGAACCCGTTCCCACACACTCCCGCTCGCCTCCCTCTCCCACCACCTCCCACCCTCCTCAGCCTCCTCTCTCTCCCTCCCACCCCTCTCCTCTCCCACCCCGCCTCCCTTCTACACCTCCCCTTCTCCCCACAGCCCGTCTCACCTTGCTCTTGATTGGTCGGCCCAGCTGGCCCCTGTTGTTGAGCCCCCATGTTACCCTATGTTGTTGTTGTTACCCTACCGCTCTCCATCACAGCAACGGAGTGATACTGCCCTGTCGCCACCGCCACCACCTGCCCCTCCCCCGTTAACCCTTCTACAGGCGCAGGCCGCCAGAACGCGCCGTCCGCGCGCCCCAGCAGCCCCGCGGGGCGCCTGCGCGCGTCCCAGTCGCGCCCCCACGACAGCACCACGCCCCCCGGAGTCACTGCCAGCGTGTGCCCGCTCGCCGCCACCGTCGGCACCCCCACGCGCCGCAGCACGCCCCCCACGCGCATCGCCAGCGCGAACTCGTCCGCGGAGACCGCTTCCCCCGCCGCCCCCGCGCCCGCAGAAGTAACCCCCCCCGGCCCTCCGGCCGCGTCTTCACATTGGGCATCCCCCCAGCATCCAGCCCACACCCGCCCGCCTTGTTAGCACTCCATTTAGCGAGTCGCGGCATTATCGAATAGCGAATTTCTCGTCGCCGCGCCACCACCCCAGCAGCGAGCGTACTCCGTCTAGTTCAGTTCAGAGCATGGTTCCTGGTCTCGGCACCGCGTCTCTCGTGGGTCCTCTCTCCCCGTCACCACTTATCGTCTTTCGTCACCATCTCGGAAGTTCTATGCGACACTATCGCTGCGCCATACCCCTCGCGCCCACTCTGATCCTCTCGGTTCCGCGCGCCCACGCCTTTATGCGGCTTCCGCCTCCGGTCCATCAACGTCAGCGGTTGCCGATCTGTCAAAGTTCGGCTACCGGTCGACGGCGGAAGATGTGACGGAGGGCGTCGATTTGAGCGGCAAAGTGGCAATCATGCTGGAAAAAGGGATTGGCCCGCGAAACAGGGTCACCCTCGAAATCGGTTGACGTGACATGAGTCGCGGAGCACTCTCGGCAATGTTACCAAATTGGGGATGCAACTCAGGAAATCCTTCGCGCCACACTTCGTGGAAGCAAAGAAATCGTCTTCGCCAGTGCAGTAATTTCGAGAAACGAAGCTACCGAGACGGTTTGTGAAGTAGTTAGGGCGTGTCCCTTTTATTAGCATCAACTTGGTAACACCCAACCAAAGTTAGGAAGGATGAGGCAATTTGGGGGAATGGAGACTCCGGTTTAGGGTTTAGGCAATATAGGAATGGAAAAGGAAGGGGAAAGGAGGAAAGGGAAAAGAAAACGGAGTGGAAGTGGGAGAGAATGGGGAACAGCAAGGTGGGAACAGAATGGTATGGGAAGGGGAATGGGGGATGAGAGGAGGGGGAAGAGGAGAGGAGGAAGGGGGCTGGGGGTGGGGTTGGCACGGACGCGATACCGTAGCTGTGAGGTACGGCAGCAGCACGCGCAACGGCGGCGTGCGACGTTCTCTCCGACTTCCCTTCCACGTTTTTTCCTAGCTTCCACCCGAGGCGCTTTTACCACGCGCATTTCTTCCACGTCTTGGTTGTGTCGCCGTTTCTGATCTTGCTCGTCCGCTCGTCGTCGCTTAGATTTCGCCCTCCTCTCCTCTTTTCCACCCTAGGCTCAGGCTCCTCTTTTCTCCTCCTTGTCATTCGTGGAAAGCGTATGGAGGGTTCTTCTTGTCATGTGCGAAAAACGCTTCCCCCTTTCCTCCGTTCCTCCTCCACGCGCGCCCAGCTCTGCTCCCCATGCGAACCTCTTCCTTTCTAATAAGGTTTCTCCCCCCTGCGTGCCTCCTCACCCGCGCGCAATCCCTCCCCCCCCCTGCTTTCCCCCCTCTCCTCCCTCCCTCCCCCCCCTCCCCCCGCCCTCGCGCCTTCCCCCCCCCCTCTCCCCTCCCCCCCCCCCTCTTTCCCCCCCGCTTCCCTGCCCCTGCCAATCTCCTCCTCCCCGGTGAATCCCCTTTCCCCCCCGCGCGGATCTCCCCCCAAGGCGCCAGCAGCGGCACGGAGACAGCGCTGCGAGGCGCGTGCGCAACACGGAGGCGGGGGAGGCCGCCAAAGCCGCATCATCAAAGACATCGAGGCGCGATGCGCGGAGGCGGCGGGGGTTCCGGCGGCGGTGCGCGAGCGCGTGAGCGTGATGCCTCTGGATCTGGCGTCGCTCAAGTCGGTGAGCGCGTTCGCCGCGGACTATCTGCGCCTCAACCGCCCGCTTCACCTGCTCATGTGCGCGCGGAGGGGGAGGGGGAGGGGGAGTCTGGGATGTGGAAGGGGGAGGGATGGGGGGGAGAAAGGAAGGGGCACGGGGTGATACAGAGGGGAGGGGCAGGGGGAGGGGTAGGGGGGAGGGGGAGGTGAAGGGGGGGATTAATGGAAGGGAAAGGGTGGGGGCCTTGTGGCCGGGGGAGAGCTGAAGTTGCGTCTGAAATGACCTGCTGTTGGTGTGGCCCATCAACACACCTGCCTTCTTCCTTCCTCCCTCTTTCCTTCCTTCCCTCGCTCCCTCATTCCCTCTTCCTCCTTCCCTCCCTCCCTGCCTCCCTGCCTATCCACCTATTATGCCACTCATTCTACCTTTCCTCTTTACTTCATCTGCTCGTCCAGACCCTTTCCCCCCTCGACGCACCCACCCCACTGTCCCCTTTCCCTCCTCGCTTCCCATCCCACAACCCCCCCTCACCCTCCCCACCAATCCCACCACGGCCCATCCAACCTTACCCAACCCCTCCCCACCCCACTCCACTGGGCAGCAACAATGCGGGCGTGATGATATGCCCGTTCATGCTCACTGCGGACGGCTATGAGAACCAGTTCGGCACCAACCACGTGGGTAAGTGTTGGGGAGCAGCAACCACGTGGGTAAGTGTTGGGGAGCAGCAACCACGTGGGTAAGTGTTGGGGAGCAGCAACCACGTGGGTGAGTGTTGGGGAGCAGCAACCACGTGGGTGAGTGTTGGGGAGCAGCAACCACGTGGGTAAGTGATGGGGAGCAGCAACCACGTGGGTGAGGCAAGCAAACAGGTCCCAGCCAGCGCACAGCAGGGGTGGCAGTGCGGTGTGTGAGTGGAGGGAGGGAGTGGTGCAAGTGAGTCTTAGCAGCTGGTTGTTCTCTTCGTAGGCTTGAGTGCATTTGTTTCCCTCCCAGGCTCATGGGGCTCTCAGGCTGATCACACCACATCTCCACCGCCTTTTTCTCCCTCTTTTTTCCATCCCCCCGCACCCCCTCCCCCCCTCTTCCCTTCCATCCCCTTCCCCCCTTCCCCCGCACACATCCCCCACCCAATTGCATTGCACGCCCTACCCATTGCAGGCCACTTCCTGCTGACCAACCTGCTGCTGCCGAAGCTCAAGGAAACCGCCAAGCAGGAGGGCGCGGAGGCGCGCATCGTGATCGTGTCGTCCGCCGCGCACCAGTTCCCGTACCCGGGCGGCATCCGCTTTGACGCCATCAACGCCAAGGAGGGGTACGACTCGGTGAAGGCGTACGGGCAGTCCAAGCTCGCTAATATCCTGCACGCTTGGGAGCTCGCGAGGAGGCTCAAGGTGCGTGGCTGTTTGAGTGTTTACTCTTGAGTGGGTAGGAGAGCCACACATTACTGGGTCACAATGTGGTGAAGGCGTACGGGCAGTCCAAGCTCGCCAATATCCTGCACGCCCGGGAGCTCGCACGGCGGCTCAAGGTGCATGGATGTGAGAGAGGAGGGTGTGCTTGAAGGAGTGGGTGTGTGGGTGTTGTGTGAGTGAGTGGGTGTGTGTGAGTGTCAGTGTGTGTGTAGGTGAGGGGATATGTGTGCGGTGCATGTGAGTGCATGAGTGTTTGTATGAGTGGGAGGTGAAGGGAAGAAGTATGGCTGGTGATGAAACATGCTAGAAAGCGCTTTTTCATGCCAGTCTTTTCCTCCTCGTCCCCACTCTCCCAACTCTCTCCTTGTGAAACCCCCTGTGCTGGTATGAATGACTGTGATATGACTGTGAAAGCTCTGTACCCAGGGGTAATCAACCCTCAACAGAGGCAACCCTGGTTTTACTCACCAGCACCCTCCCTCACCCTCCCCCTCCCCCTTCCCCTCTCTCCCCTTCCTGTCTCTCCCTTTATCCATGCGAGCAGGAGGAGGGTGCAGGAGTGACAGTGAACGCACTGCACCCGGGGGTGATCGACACCAACCTCTCGCGCCACATAGTGCCGCCAGGGACCATCTGGCACACCCTCGGACGTATGTCAGGGGTGGGCGGGTGCGTGGGTGGGTGGGCAGGTTGGTGGGTGGGAAGGGCATAGTGCGTTTGGGCATGCCACATTGGGTCCGCGGAACCCCTGGTTTGCTGCGGACCAAGCAGTCCAGTCTGTGGACCAGCTGTGAGCCAGCTCATGGGCCAGGCAAGTGCAGGCATAGTTACCATGCATCACAACTGGTTCCAAGGCCTTATTTGTTCGGGTCTGAGCCTTTTCTGCAGGTCCGCCACGAAAAGTGGCTGGGGCTGATGCTGGTCCGTCAGACCAGCCACGAAAGCAAGTGAGACGTGGTTCGGATCTGGTCCGTCGGTCTGACCATCCCTTCGTCGGCGGATTACGGGTTTCGTGGACAGAATGTCTCCTGTGGTATAAGGCAAAGCCGTTTGCGCCACAGAGTGCTATCGGGGACTATCGGGCACACCCTGGGACATAGTTGATGGGATGGGCGGGTGGGTGGGTGGGTGGGTGGGTGGGTGGGTGGGTGGGTGGGTGGGTGGGTGGGTGGGTGGGTGGGTGGGTGGGCGGGTGGGCGGGTGGGGTAGAAAGAGGGGGAGGAGGGGCATCTGATGGGCTGATGGGTTGATGGAGGCTGTTTGGCCCTGTCTTGGACGTACCAGCATGATTGAGTGCATGTAATCCCTGCTCACTGCTTGCAGCCTGCTTCTGCGTGAGCTTGGCTGAGCACCCATTGCTGTCTGTACATTTGTTATGTGCCCTTGTGCCTTTCCACTGCCGCCTTGCGATTTTGTGCAACCAACCACCAGGGGGAGCGTACAGCCTGGTGTTCCAGTGGTTCATGAAGACCATTCCTCAGGTATGCGTCCAACTCTGCTGCAAGAATGATCATGAGTGTGATCGAAGCCGAGCTGCCTCTACTTTACCAACCCCTCACCCCTCCTCACCTCACCTCACCTCACCTCTCCTCACCTCACCTCACCTCACCTCACCTCACCTCACCTCACCTCACCTCACCTCGCCTCACCGCTGCCACCTTTCACTGCTGCATGGTTGGGTGCCAGCACATCCCCATGCTCATGTGGACACTGCTTGCAACAAACCCAATGGGGCTACTTCTCATGCTCCACTACCTTCCAACCTTCCCCCTCCTCCCCCCTCCCCCCAATCAAGCCACGCCATCCTGCTGCCTCGCGGAACACACTCTTTGCTGGTGCGAGCGTCTTCCACCCTTCCCCCTCTTTCCTCTCACACACTCCTTCCACCTCCACCTAACCACCTCTTATCCTCAACCACTCCCCTGTCTTTCCCTCTCTCAGGGTGCAGCCACGTCATGCTTCCTTGCAGCGCACCCCTCAGTGGCGGGTGCGAGTGGGGGCTACTACGCAGACTCGCGGGCAGCAGAGGGCAAGGCGACAGCCCTGAGCAAGGACATGGAGCTGGCTGGGAAGCTGTGGGAGCTCAGTGAGCAGATGGCCAGCAAGGAGTGAAGCTGGATGGTGTGGTGTGAGGGAGGGAATGGAAGAGTGTGGGACAGGGGTGGGAGTGGACAAGAGTGGGAGTGTAGGTGTGAATGAATGACCTTGGGGTTAGGCTTGATGCTTGCACAGACGCGTGTCCCATCCCAAGCACAGCAAGTACCGTATGTGTAGCTAGTAAGTGAGGAGCTGTGGGAGGGAGAAGTCCTGGACTTAACTTAGATGACTGGGAGAGGATATATGTGGCAGGCAAGGTCACTTGCTACCTGATGGTTGTTACGGTACTTACCGTCATACCCCGGATATAAGCGCCACCCTCGGATAAGCGCCTGGCGCTTTTAATTGGCGTGTGGCACTTAAATCCCCTGCTCGATTATAAGCGCACCCCCTGAAAAAACGTGTGTTATTATAAGCGCACGTAAACTTTAAATTTTGAAATGTGTTCAAAACACTGTAACGATTCTTACTTTAGCAGGCGGATGTGTTGCAGATTTGGTTCCCTTCACATTCGGACCCTGCACTGGATGCGGGTCCAGTAAGCAGGAGCTGTCAGGAGCTGGATGTGAGTCAGATTGGGTGTATCTCCCTGCGCGCGTGAGAATTTCACAGACGACCCCATGTAACTTCGACTCGATTGAAAAAGCAAGCACGAGATCTACAGTTTGGTGTTAAAGCCAGGGTCTCAAGTAGTACGAGTGCTTTGCAGTTGGTGGTAGGAGGTCGACTGGGATTGGTTGGCGAGGTCCAAGTTTAGGGGAGGGGTGAAGCGAGGGTTGCGAAGGGGACACAAATCGTTGAGTTGTTTCCGAACCATCTAGCCACGGAAGTTGGTGTGGGTGGGCCGAAGCTGAAATGCCAGCAACTTCCCGAAAGCCCCAAAAGTCTCGAGTAAAAATGTCGAATGTTTTGCAATTCTTGTGGGGGCAAAAACAGTGGTGTGTCGCACACTACTTCCCAGGCCAACCAGTCAGCTCGCCTGCTACAAACAGAGTAACGGAGCTTCAACTGCTTTGCAGTTGACGCCAGGATCTCTTACTTGAGACCCTGGCTTAAAAAAATATTAAAAAACATATATGTCATTTTATAAACACCGGCGCTTATAAATTTACTCAATTATAAGCCCACCCCCCTAAAAAAACCAGTTTTATTATTGCCCCCCATGGGGGTATATCCGGGGTATGACGGTAGTTATTGTGAGCAGAGGAGCTAGCACCCTGTACCATAATCTTTGTTTTCAATGTGCTAGCTGACGAGAGTCCCCAGGGCTAAAACGGGAATTTGAGTAACCTTGGGCTGGCCCTCTTTTGCAGGCAGGCCCTCAGATATCAGCGTAAAACACGCTGATTACGCTGATTTTGTAGCTCAGATTTTCGTTTTCCCTGAAAATTCAGCATATGCTTCAATTTTGCACTGAAATTTCAGTATAACCTATTTTGTCACACTGACCATTTTGCGTGTTGCTGTACAAGTAGCACTGACGAATCAGTATAGTGTACTGAGTCACACTGATTCGGACATGATAGGGTATGGGTGTACAGGGGGCGTTCAAACCAGAATACCCGCAAAAAGAACTCGCGGCCCACTCAAGCAGTTCTCGTCTACGGGAATCGACCCCGATACCTTGGCGATTGCAAGACATAACACAAACAACTACGCCACCAACAAGGTTCTGAACGCGCAGTTATTATTTTAAGACTGATGCTTCAGCTTGCCTTGAAAATTTACACTGAGAAAATCAGCATAAATTTAACCCCCAAGGCTGATTTGGACACCACTTTGGACACTGCACACTGATCGATCAGCATGCCCTGAAACCAATCTGAGGGCCTGTTTGCAGGCTACTGCTAGGTATTACCGTATACTCTCAAATTGTGCTGTTGCTGCCATACTTGGTAGGGTTAGCCATGAAACCCGTGCTTGCCAATCAGTCCATCAATTAGGTGTCGCGCTTCCACTCACCCTCTCCTAGCTAAGCCCGCCACCTACCACACTCCTAGCCCGCTCCCTTGCGTTCCAGCCAGCCAGATCATCTGCCCGTCTGCCCAAGCACCGAATGCCAGCCGTAGTGCCGCCCGCCAGCCAGCACGCACCTTGCAGCCTTGCATGCAGCATGCAGCATAGGAATTCAAGCTTTCGCTTTCAGGCCTATGCAGCATACCGTAAGCATTTTCTCTGCCCACCACCTATTGCACACCATTCTCTTTTCGAAAACAAATTTGTTACACAAGAAAGACAAAGATTGAGAGTTAAGAGCATTTGCTTTTTATCCTGCTTTTTCTTCATAGGCAGGTTAAGAGAGTTGATTACAAGCACCTTAGCAAAGAAAAGGCCAAAAAACTATAAGCCCCAAGGAGTGTCTATCCAGGATAATACGGCAGTAGTCATTGGCTTTACGGGAAAGGACAAAAATCCTATCCAGAGGGCTGATCCCCAATCATTCTAAGCTGCGTCTCCAGACTTTCCACACCCGCAACAGCGTCCTTCATCTCCTGGATCTGTGCATCCACCTTGATAGCGGCGCAGAACTCCTTTTTCCCCGCCACCTCCTCCCTGACAGCCTGCAGCTGGGTGGCAATGAGTGCCATGCTTGGGCGGCTTGCAGTGCGCTCCACGGTGCAGCTCACTGCCAGATCAGCCACATGCAGCACCGCATCCCCGGGAGGGGCGTCCATGCGCGCATCCTTGAGGCTCTCTGTGTCATTTGATGACAAGCAGCTGGACGCCTGATGGAGTGGAAATAGCAGAAAGTGTGAGAAAAACTCGAGCGCAAATCAGTCAGCTCTCAACGCAGTTACCTGTACTTTGATTGAGAGAAAACAATCGGCAACATGCAACAATCTGTTTGCAGGGAACTTACCCATGGCACAATCTGCTTGGACTCCCCATCATCCTCAGAGAGTGGAGGGCGTCCAGTGAGCACCACAAGCATGAGCACACCAAAGCTGCACCGAACGAGAGACGATGAGAGCAACACGATGGTGAGATGCGTATGAGATATTATCATGGCCAGTCCCTGCTTGTGAATGAAACAATCTATACACGAGACCAATGGTGAGCAACCGAACCTGGCTCAAGAGATCAGACATACAAGAGAAGGATGATGGGTATCCAACTATCTAGGTTGAAGCGGTTGATCCATGCAGCCATGCGGTATCCAAGCTCAAATGCTAACTGCACAAACCCGTGCAGACTTGGCTTCATAAGCGAGCATACAACTTTTGCAGGGCTTACGGAATTCCAAGGTCTGGCAAAAGTAGCGGGCAGAACGGTGAGACGAGGGTTGACGAAACCTGGAACCTGTAACCAGTATCCTAGTTTCCAAAGCCCTTGCCATAGCAAATGTATACGCTCGCCCTTAGATATTTCTCGCTGACATGGCACGGACGTGATACGACTTTTGGCTCACCTGTAGACATCGCTGGCTGCAGTGGCCTTGGACGTCCGGGAGTAAACCGGATCCACATAGCCCGGTGTTCCCATGATGCGCGTCGTGCCCACTGTCGTGCCCTCTGCCGCCCTCACCAGCCCGAAGTCTGCAATCTTGGGCTGGTGGGTGGTTGGATAATATGTTGGTATGAATTAGCACCAACAAGAGAACAGTTGATGGAGGAAGAAAGGTGGGAGATCTTCTGGTGTCAAATCAGCATTGCATTGCCACATATTCAGAGATAGCGTGGGATTCCAGACAGTGGTTAAGATCAGCTCGAACAAACAATCTCTACCTGTATGGCCCTTGAGGGATATTTGAATTTGTGAAACTCATAGTTCTCATACTGATTGCTTCCTGACAGCATCATGCTGCCGTGCAATCTTCCGCAACCGTGCTTACCTGCATATCATTGGTGATGAGGATGTTGGCGGGTTTGATGTCGCGATGCACAATGTCGAAGCTATGGAGGTACTCAAAGCCACGTGCAATGCCGATGAGAATGTCCAGCCGCTGCTTCAGACTCAGAGGAGATGGTGCGTCTGCAACAATGTCAAAGCCAAGGGGTGAGCTTCACAGCAAGCATGAGGCGGACAGCATGAGTGGCCTGGCCTACCATGAGCGGCACTGCTCAAGTGAATGCTATAAAATAATCTGCTGACACTCACTTGGTCCTATCCACTTGTCAAGGTCACCGTTGGGCACAAACTCATAAATCAGGACTTGCTCAATCATAGACCTGACGTCCCCTCCCACCGCAAACCCCAGCAGTCGCACAATGTTGGGATGGTTCTTGTCGGCCATTTGCACGACCTGGAGAACCAGAACACAAGAGCGGGAAAAAGATGCCGCGGAAAGAAAGGGCAGGTTGAGCAGGGAAGGAGGAACATTGTTTCTTCTTGCTCAACTAGGGAAAATGAGAATTACGGATCACGATATGTGTAGCGCTATTCTAGGTTGAGTTTCTTTCTTTTGTAGAAGTAAGGGAGAACCAAAAAGTCTTATTTCCTCATGTACGGTGCGCTCACCTCCCTCTGGAAATCCACGGCTACGAGCTTGGCACGCTTGACAGCCCAGGGTGTGGTGCCATCGCGGGGAGAGACGCCCTTGTAGACATCACCAAAGGCACCCGAGCCAAGCAGGTTGCCTTCTGACCAGTCGTTGGTCGCATTCTCGAGAGGTACATATGTGAGGCAGCGAGTGAGGATGCCAATTCGTTATTAATTGCACAAACCCTTTGTCATGTCATACAAGGCACGTCAAGAGCACGAATATTTCGGTATTTGGGCCGGCGCAACCTTCACAACAACAATTCACAGGCCCTCTTCCCCGCTCACTCCCCCCCTCCCCCATCCCAACCCACACAGCAAGCAGCGCTACGTCTATTGCGCATCCTTTGAGGGCATCACACGCATCTGTGGCATTGCCAAGATTGACCTCCAAAGTCCCCCGGACCTCTCTGCACCGTACTACACCGTCGCCGGCTGTGTCTCAGGGTTCTTCAACCACGGGACGGGCAGGTTCGGGTCCGAGCCTGTGTTTGTGCCTCGGAGCAACGAGCCTGGCCTGGAGGAGGACGATGGCTACGTGCTGACCTTCGTGCATGATACCAACACAGAGTGAGTGCCGCTTATGGCTTGTGTGGAGTTTTTACCTCGCATAGCCTCTGTAAATCTCCTGGAATCCACAACATGCTCCCTGTCTTGAACTCTCTGCTCCTAACTCCCCTCGATCATCTACCCTGTCCCACATACTGCTCTCTCCCCCTCCTTCGTCCCCGTTCCCCCCAACCAGAATCTTTAAGGTAGAAGTGTCGGATGCCAAGGCCCTCGCCTTACCATTCCTTCCCCTCTCTCTCTCTCTCCACTCTCCTCTCTTTCCCTTTCCTCTCTCCCTGTCGATTCCTCCCCAACCAGCATCTCTGAGGTGGTGGTGCTGGGTGCCAAGACTATGGCCTCTTCCCTCACCCCTGCACCCTTCCACCCTAGTCATTCTCACTCTTTCAACCCCTCCTCCCCTCCCTCTCTCCCCCCCACCTTCCCCATTCCCCCCAAGCAGCATCTCCGAGGTGGTGGTGCTGGACGCCAAGACCATGGCCTCTACCCCCATCGCCACCATCCGCATGCCCCAGCGTGTGCCATACGGCTTCCACGGCATCTTTGTGTCAGAGGTAGGTTGTGTGCTGTACGGTGTTTGGTGAATGTGCATGGTGTGTGGATGGTGTATGGATGAAGGGTGTGTGTGGTTCCTATGACAACCTGTCGCCACCATCCGCATGCCCCAGCGCGTGCCATATGGTTTCCATGGCATCTTCGTTTCAGAGGTATGGTGCATGCTGTACGGTGTGTGGTGAATGTGCATGGCGTGTGCACGGTATAAATGGTGTGACTGGTGTATGATGTGCTGATCAAGCCACCATCCACGTGCAAACTTGCTCCTTCCTCCTCGCCTGTTGCCATGCTGCCGGATGCCACACTGCAGGATCAAATCTCCGCCCAGCTGCCGGAGTAATACGTGCCAAGTCAGCTGTCCACTCTGTAGTCCTGTGCCAGCAGCAGTAGTTGTTACTTGTAGCTGACCTTGTTCGGAAGGATATGTGTATATCGTGGGTCAGGTGTGCACAAGTAGCAACAATAACTGCTGTATGTTGGCATGTATAGAATATACCCAGTGAATGTGCAGTCCTCACACCAATTGATATCTCGCAAGATCTGCAAGCAACCAAATGCCATCCATCCAGCCAGCCCAAATCCGCACTTGTACAATGTGTACCAGATCAAACATTGACCAATTTGCACTGCTCAGCAATGCGGTATCTGCTATTGAGCATTACCTACACACCGCATCACCTCCCCATAGCCACCGCATCACCTCTCCATAGACAATCACATCATAACTCATGCTTTCCCAGTCCCCAACTTCCAGCACTCTGCACCAATTCTGCCATCTGATTTATTCTACTCATCATCATCACTCTCCCCCATGCCTCTGCCGAAGCCCATTTCATGGTCACTGTCCATGGCATACTCATGCTCAATATCCTCATCCTCAGCCCCACTCTCCTCGTCCTCTGGTGCCTCCCCGCCCGCCTCTTCCCTTTCCCCAGCCACATCGCCTCCCTCCCCCCCCTCTTCCTCTTCCGCATCCCCTCCCTCCCCATCCTCCTCCCCCTCCCCCTCCTCTCCCTCCTCTCTTGCAGGAACCTCTCTTGTGTCCCGCCTTGACAGCAAAGGGCACTCACTGATGTGGCACTCACGCAACGTTGGCATTTTCCGGAGAGAGGTGGGCAGCCGAGTCAGCTTCTTGCATATGATCACCTCCAGCTGTTCAAGCTTAGGCAGCCGAGTAAACGAATCCGGCAAGCTTCTTAAGTGCTTCAGTCCCAAGATCAGCAACTTTTGGAGGGAAGACAGCTTCCAAATGTCATCCGGAATGCTTGGGATTCCGAGCATAATGAGAGAGCAGGATCGTAGATTGGATAACTCCAAGAAGGACTCTGGAAGCTGCATCAGCTTGTAGCAATCTATAATTTCCAGCGTCTCGAGCATCTTCAGCTGCCCAAGAGACTCTGGCAGCTGACGCATTGAGATGATTCTAACCAGCTGCAAGACACGCAGGCCTGCAAGTCCCCCAAGGGTCTCGGGCAGTGCATTCAGATTGTAAGCCGAATCAACTTTGAGCCGTTGCAGCTGCAAGAGTTGGGAGATGGAATCAGGGAGAGAATCAAGCCTGTCCATCTCCAGGAGCTTCAGCTGGGTCAAGGAGGACAGACGAGCAAGGAACGGACAGAATGACTCGACATTGAGCTCCTTCATCTTGAGGCTCAGAATGGAAGGAAGCAGAGGGCGGTTGCTGCTCCTGCTGCCGGTGCTGGTCACAAAGCCCTTGGCAGTGCGTCTAAGCACCTTCTCATCGCCTAGCACCCCGCTTATCCCATCACACGCCCGCACGTCCAACGCCCGGAGACAGGGCAACTCAAGGAGAGCCGGAGGGAGACATATCAGGCCGTCCATCCCAAAGATTCTGACCTCCTCGAGCGCCTGCAGCCGTCCGATTCCCTCTGGCAGGACCGTCACTTTGGGGCAATTTCCCACTTCCAGGCTGGTGAGGGAAGAAACGCCAAAGAAGGAGGCAGGAAGGGCGGATAGGCGCGGCATAGTATCGAGCGACAGCTCCTTGAGGCTTTTCAAGCTGCCAAAGCCGTCTAGCAGCGCGCCCCTGAAGCGTTTCGCGCGGTCAATCTTGAGGGTTTCGAGAGACGTCAGGCCGGAAAAAGTTGGCGGGAGGTGGGTGAGAGCCGTGCACTCCAGTAGAAGCAAATGACGCAAGGACTGCAGACCGTTCCCCATGTCGTCTGGCAGCACCGTGAGGCGCGGACAACTCTTAATCTCCATATGCTCGAGAGAAGATAGCTGGGATAGGGAGCCCGACAATTCCTCCAGGTGCCAACACTCCAGTATTTTCAGCTCCCGGAGAGCTGTCAACTCCCCAAAAGATTCAGGCAGACATTTGAGCTGGTGAAGGCTCTTCAGAAACAGCTTCTCCAAACAAACCAGCTGCCCGAACTCCTGGGGAAGATATCTCAGATGTTGAAAGTTATTGAGGGAAAGCTCTTGCAGTGTAGTGATCAAGGCGAAGGAATCAGGTAGGGCTGTGAGAGTCCTTAGCTCCAGAACGAGTGTCCGAAGCACTGACAACTGCCCGAAATCGTCGGGCAGCAAAGAGAGTTCGTCGATATCAAGGGTGAGCTTGGTGAGTGCAGGCAGGCGGGGAAGAGACGCGGGCAGAGACGTGACATCGAAGCAGTCTTTGATAATCAGGGTCTTCACTCGCTGAAAATGCTCCAGATCCGCAACCAACTCGTGCATTCCCCTCACTTCAACCAAGATGATGGTTTCGAGTGCCTTCAGTTGATCGAAATCGACCGGCGACGGAGGAAGAATCCTGCATCGTCGAACCTCCAGAACGGCGAGAGAAGAGAGCTCGGTGAAAGAGGCCGGCAGCTGCAACGTCCTGGTATGATTCAAGGAAAGACGGTTCAGAGCGGTAAGCTGTCCGAAGGAGTCCGGAAGTGACGTCAAGCTGCACGAGTTCAGCTCCAGAGACGTCAAGGAAACCAGATTGCCGAAATCTTCAGGCAAAGCTTCGATCATATAAGTGTTCAGCACGAGGGTCCTGAGAAATTGTAACGAGGTAAGAGAGCCGGGAAGGCTCGTAACGCTTCCCCCGATTGTTAAGCTTCTGAGCCGTGTAAGTCGGTCGATCGACGTGGGAATGGCAGCATGCTCCGAACAATGAAATTTAAGATCTTCCAGCCGCGTACACCCCTCGAACAGCACAACGAGGCTCTTCTCAGATACACCTCCGGGTCTAGATCCACGTGACATCGATTCGACATGAAGCTGGGTCAAATGGTGATACGTGCTAGCGAGGTGGGAGAATAAAAAATTAGGGGTGGAGGCGAGGCTGTCATAGGAAAGGATGAGCTCTTCGAGGTTAGGGAACAACGACAAAAGCTGAACGAGACGACGCGGATCCATACGGAGGTTATTGGGCAAGCGGAGCTGGTATTGCACGCGGTACGCGATCCGATGCCATTGCTTGCTAACAAATGCGTGCTCCAACAGGCCCTCAGGTCGAACCAGAAAACGCAGGATCCGAGAAATAATATCCTCAGGTAACTGCTGGATCGGAGAACCGACTGGCATTGTGAAAGGAGGAAAAAGATACTAAAATGATTTGCTGATCAGCTTGTTGATTCTGCTACTAATGAGGTGACGTGACTCCTAATCGTCGATCAGCAAGGTTGTTGTGAGCCTGAAAGGGGAAGGAGGAAAGAGCCTGAAAGAGCCTGAAAGCCTGAAAGGGAATATGCTCCTGTGCGGATCAGGGAGTGCATCTCTCTCAACTCAACGGCGTCGTTCTGTAGGCATCACGGAGGGAGGGGAGGGAAAATAGGAAGCTGCCTGCCTCTGCAATTTTAGGTTCGAAATGGCGGTCAGCCCGGAAAATGCCGACGTGGCAGTCATTTCCCTTCCGAACCTAGACGAAGGGAAATGCCTGCAGAACAGTCGTTTCCCTCGATGGAAATGCCCCACCAGGAAGGTTCCTATTTCCCTTCAACACCTTCCTCCTCTGGCAAATTTGTTTGCCTTCGCCCCGCCATCGGCCACCCACCCTTCACGGGGAAGTGCGATGGTGACGGGAGGGAGGAGCTGGGCGTGGGAACACCAGCCTCCCGCCCAAACAAAACGCCAATGACAACACGGTCTAGCCCAATCAGGGTGGCACCTCCCAAATCGAAAAAGAAAACACGCTCGAAGTTGGTCCAAGGGGTGATGTGTGTTTTGGGGCTCGATTTTCTGTATAAATTATCCTCGCAGTCCGAAGTACCCTGGGTGCACTAAACAGCGGTCTGGAATTAACCCTCTGATGGGCGCGCGAAATTCAGCGCGCAGTTCGTCATTTCCCTTGGGAAACTACCGCCCCACGATGCAAAATTTCCCATCTTGCATGTTTGCCCAGGGGGGAAAAGTCGACCTCGGAACCCACCTCGGAACCCTCCTCATTTCCCTTCTCCCTCCCTCCCCCAATTGTCAGGTGCTTACAGAACGACGCCAACGAGAAACCCTTGGGCCTGTCAGTGACACCGCACTCAACCGCTCTTACTTCTCGAACCCATTCCAGCCAATTTCTCCCACGTAACACGTACTTGTGAAAAGGACGGCGACACAGGGCGCACAATCACAACCTCTACAGATTCTCCATTTGCGAATATCAGCCTTCGCGTGCCCCAATTGGGTGTCCCATGGTGAGTTGACCCAACGTGGGCTTGTGCGCTTCCCGCAAAAAAGGTGAGGGTACTAGCGTACCCGTTTGTGGATGCGAATCCAGCAGATTGTTTTCAGCAGCGAGTTGTTATTTGCAAATAGGTAAGGCGTGTAAAAAGCATGAAGGAGCCAAAAATATGTTGCCTTTACAGGTTAGAAAACAATGTGTTCACATTCGTAAAATGGAATTGTAGTGTGTATTTTATGTTTACCGCATTGAAACAGTATGCAATACTGCGTCTAAGCATGTAAACTACTCGACGCAGCACCACAATTCCTACACTACGCTATCAGAATTCCATCACACTGCTGATTACAGCAGATTATAAAAAGAAGATACCATATCTCCTCTCTGGCTGCCATCGACTCTCACGTCCACCATATGTAATGCGGGCGACAAGGAACGACTCCCTGAGAATGTTGCTGACTATCTTCTGCTTGGGACAGCAGACCTAAAAAACCCTTATCGGCTCCAACCGCTCTGTATGTTTACCCCTCATCAATGCGAGGATGAGAACCCCCTCACGATGCTGCCGATCATCTTCTGCTTCTGCGCAAACGACCACGATGGGTTGTTCTGCCACAAAGGAAGTAAGGCAGCGCGGGACGGGGAGAGAAAAGAGAGGCCCACATGAATGAGGATGTGGAGAGCAGCAGGCGGAAATGTTCTCCATGGGAGAAAGGCAGCTCAGGAGGGACACAGCACATCCACATGCCATCATACCCATCTACAGTCACACCCACCCACCCACCTGCATGGTGTGAGCAATAACCCACTGCACCTACCGATATCTGTAGTCAAAACCTCAAGCTTCTACCCCAAATGTTAAACTTAAAGCCCTAACCAGCCCCACCTGCAGGGTGAGCAGGGCACGCTTGGTGAATGCCACGGCTTGCGGGGACACGCTGGGAGGAAGCTTCTCAGCGGCTTCCTGCAGCGCCTTGTTCTCCTGCAGCGCTGTCAATCGCTGCGGCCCCGCGTATAGTTCCACCAGGGCTTCAATTTCATCGGCACGGGAGAGAACAGGGGGAAGGGGGAGCGGGAGGGGGAAAAGAAGGGTCAGGAAAGAGGAAAGGGGTCATTCGCTGTGGCCCTGCATGCAGCTCTACCAGCGCCTCCAGCTCATCCGCACAGGAGAGACAGCTCTGCAGGGCGGTCTGGGGGAGGTGTGGGAAGGGGGGAGGGAAAAGGGGGTAGGAGAGAGAAACGGGGAGGAAGAAGTGGGTCATTCGCTGCAGCACCGCATACAGCTCCACTAGAGCCTCGAGTTGATCCGCGCGGGAGAGGAAGCTCTGCAGCGCAGACTGGGGGAGGGAGAAGGGGAGGACGGAACAGAGAGGAAGGCGGTCAATTGCACCTGGAACTGCGGTCAGTGAGAGGCACCGAGGAAGGCGGTTCCTCAGTGACCCTCTGTGACAGCACCGCAGGGAAGGCGTGTCATGCCCGTGACTGTGTCAACCCCTCACACACACAGACGCACAGACAGAGACTGACCCACAAGCACCACACGATCCTCACAGAGCCACACAGCCACCCACCTGGAACTCCTCCTCGCTCTGCGTGCCCGTGAGCGCCATCAGCCTCGCTTAGCCGCCACCATCACCTCCTCCAGCGACGGTGCTGCTAAGGGGGCGGTACTCCCCCCTCCTCCTCCCCTTCCTCTTCCTCGTCCCTAAAGGCGAGAACTCCATGCAGTGCGAGGCTGCCAGGCTGGTGCCCAGTGCTGCTCATGCGGTGGTGGGTGAAGGGCGAGGAGGCAAATAGAGAGCCCTCTCGTTGTCTTGCATTGTGCGTATCGCTCAGAAAAGGAAGAGGAACGCAGAGCATTGAGGAGGTGTGGAGGTGGGCAGCAGATTATCTGAGCACATGCAGCACATCTCAGCCCTGCAATCCTGCTGCTCGACTCGTACCTCTTGAGCTTCGTTGCTTCTGGCGCCTGAAGCAGAGTAGCATGGCAGCCAGAAGCAGGAGGAGAACGACCACAGCAGCAACAGCAATGCCGATAATGGCTCCTATTGATACACCCCCTCCACCTCCAGATGCTGCTGGTGCACGAGCACAACACAACACAAGCATGTCGTGTGAGCAGAGAGAGCGTGCTCGCCATCACAACAGCACAAAGCACGTCTAAGTGGTGGCAGTTACAGCCAACTAGGCACAGCTTTATGGTCCCCATTGACCTGCTTGTTCTTGGCATGTCGAACAGGTGGTGGAACATTTCCGGCAGAAAGCAGCGAATGACGATAGGGTTTGGCCGCAGGTGGTGCTGTCAGCAGCAGGACAAGTGAGGCTGTTGTTATCGGTGTTGCTGCAGTGCAGTGGGAAGTGGGCAGATTGACAAAGGAGAGATTATGCCTGTGACATTGTCATGTGGCGTGGCACTGCCATGCAACTCTGCATTTATGTTCAGACGGTTGCACGCACCAGCCAGGAGACAGAATCACACTCACACAATTGTAAAAAAGGCATGAGCGAAACGAAACATAGTTCGGTTCAAGTCAAACCGATTTACTTGAAACTGGACTAGAGTTATTAAAATAACAGTTTGGTCTGAGGCAAACCTGTTTGGCGGGTTCGATCTCTGTTTGGAACAGCAACCCGAGCTCCTCGAGCTGTGTGTATTTATACTGCCCGCTGAGTCATAGGTTGGTTGGAGATTGATTTTAAGCTCCCACAACTTGTAAGCTAATTCATATGGTCACGCTGCCCGCTTCCCAAGCCCGTGCCCGCCCCACCACTAGATTCTTAGGGTAAGTCCTAATCTCTGTCTGAGTGTGGAGTTTGGAAACGGTAGTATTTTGGTTGTAGATTGAGAATAAAATCGTGCTGTGCGTCGGTGAGTTTGGCCGGTGATGGAATCTCTAGATAGAAGAGGGGGTGAAGTGAGGTGGGTTGGTAAATATTGGCTGGTGGTTGGATTTTCTAAATAGTAAGCGCTGAAGAAAGGTAGGATGTTGGCTGGTGGTTGGGTTCGGTTATTTAGATAGCATAAAGGTAAACGTGGTGGGTTGGGTTCCCCAAGACATCGCTTAACATCCTGAACCAACGCACCCCACTTCACCCCGTAGGGCGTGGTATGGGGCAAGAACCATATTTCCCTCAACAATTTGGACAATGAGCTCCTCTTACAGCCTGCAGCCCAAGTAGAACAACATTAGTAAAATTGATGTAGAGTTTGGTCAGGTTGGGTTGCCACGCCCCTCGCAAATTGGGCCGTGGCTTTAACTCGTAGATCTTGAGGGTTTGGTCAATGGGGATGATTGAAATTGAACTGTGTGTGCTGATTGGTGCCTCGAGTCACACATGGCGTTTTAGAAGCCATCGCCAGCAAATTATATGAGCCAACATGGTGTAGGCATTTCCGTGACATTCGGTCACCTCGTCGGAAATATCACCTCCGGTCCAAACGACGGCGACGCCGCCGACGTCCTCCTTCTGAGACGACTTAGCCGTACGCACTACATTAGTTCCAAATGTACCGTCCTTAGCACCTAGAGGGATGAGCAAAACCCGAACGGAAACATGTTTGGGTTGAACGTGTATCGATTACGTTCAGTGGGCAAATCAAACATGTTTGGTTTGACCCAAACACTTGGTGATTTGCAATGGTGAAATGCAGGCACATGTGCAATGGTGGCAGCCAGAAGTGACTTGCACATGACATACACCAATGCTGCTCAGCTCACAGGTAGTCCAATAGGGAAAGGCTCCCAAGTGTAGCTGGAATTAGCCCGGTAAGTTGGTTCGTATACAAACTCCTGTCCACAAGGGCATGATCAGTCCGGAACATCTAAAGGAAAGCAACAACTGCATGTCACCCAGAAGGTTGGGGCAGCGCAGCAGAGAGTGACGAAGGAGTGGCAAAACGATGTGGTGGGCGAAGCGATGGGGAAAGGAGTGGGCATGCAGAATGCATGGGCAGAGGAGGAGTGCCAGCAGTGATGCGCACATGGCATGCAGCACCCAGTGGACAGAGCAGCACGCAGGTGGAGCAAACCCAGTGTGCCTCTTACAGATATGTGAGAGCTGTGAGCGCGGAGATGCTGTCGGGTATGGATCCCGTGAGAGAGTTATAGCCAAGATTCCTGTGGTCGGTGAGTGGGTTGGGCCACATGAATGAGACAAGAGCCACAAATCCCTTCCCACTGACAGTGGCTGGAACTTGGAATGATTAACAGTCAGGAAGGGTAGAGTAAGACAAGCAGATGCAGAGGAGTGGCTGAGATGAGATTGTAAATGCTGAAATTATGTATTGGCGTTTGCAGGTTCTCTCATAGCAGACAAAGCATGAATGACCAGCATGGAGGAACACAGAGTGGAAATGGGATGCAGACAGCAGGAGGGGTGGAGGAGGAGTGGGCATGCAATGCATGGGCAGTGGAGGAGTGCCAGCAGTGATGCGCACACCTAGCAACACACAATATTACAACAGTTACATCTAATTCCTACTGCTGATGGTTCTAGTCCCTCTGAAACAAAACTTTTCGGGGTCACCTTCTCCAAGGATTCTTGGGTGCCTGACCAAAGTCAGCCCCTATCCAAGGGTCAGAGTGTGTAGAAAGAGAAGTTCCAGCGAAGTAGAGTTGCAGTGGAGATCCTTGTCACGGCGTAGGCTGAGGTTCTTTCAGTAATAAAAGTTAATCTCGCAGCAGTGTGAGAGGAGAATTTGATACGCAGATAGTGTTTAATTCATAATTCAGGGTATTCAACTATATATCCTCTAAGCTGTTCCTAGTGCTAACTATCTATCATCACTAACTGTTCTTATTGTTTAACGCAACGCAAACAATTTTGCGTTTTTATCACATTCAGAGAATGCTCGCGCCAAGAACCTTCTTGACGGTCAAGACTCGAGACGAAAAACTTCGCGCTGTTTTGCAACGGCTCCGATTGCCCGTTTGAAAAGTGTGCGAGAGTCAAACTCGAAACTCGACTGGCGAGCTGAGTTGACAAGTTATCTCTCAGCACGTGTACCCCTTGCTCGAGGCGTGAACATCACCCTTGAGCAAGCTGAGGTGATTCAACTGCTCGAGAGCATGATCAGCTTAGCTCTCGCTCGATGCGCGATCGCGTGAGCAGTTGTGCTCAGCTCACGCCTCGTGTTCAGGGTAACAGCCGCGTCAGCGTCTCAGAGTGCGCGAGCGAGACACAACGAGTTCGGCGATGAACTCGTTGCGCGAGCAACACCCAGTCGGCGTCTTCGAAATGTGATAACTCGAGCGGTTGTGAACTTGCCGCGCGAACAGAAATCGCCGCTGTGATTGGAAGAGATGAAATAGCTGATCGAACTGTCTTTGTGAGCAGATTCGACTGCTCTCATCGGTCGAAGCAGAACTGTGCCCCTGAACCCTCCATTGTAGAAATATCGCTTCTCCCTTTCAGCTCCTAATTGAATTATTTTAGTACCCCCCCCCCTCCCCCCCCCCCCCCCAAAAAAAAAAAATGACAGATTGATATATATTCTAAATTATTATGTAAACCCAGTGTGCCTCTTACAGCAATGTGAGAACCGTGAGCGCAGAGATGCTGTCGGGTATAGAGCCCGTGAGAGAGTTATAGCCAAGATTCCTGTGGTCGGTGAGTGGGTTGGGCCACATGAATGAGACAAGAGCCACAAATCCCTTCCCACTGACAGTGGCTGGAACTTGGAATGATTAACAGTCAGGAAGGGTAGAGTAAGACAAGCAGATGCAGAGGAGTGGCTGAGATGAGATTGTAAATGCTGAAATTGTGTATTGGCGTTTGCAGGTTCTCTCATAGTAGCCGAAGCATGAGTTTGACGTACATTAGCATGGAGGAACACAGAGTGGAAATGAGATGCAGACAGCAGGAGGGTTGGAGGAGGAGTGGGCATGCAGAGTGCATGGGCAGTAGATGAGTGCCAGCAGTGATGCGCACGCAACACTCAGTTGACAGAGCAACACGCAGGTGGAGCAAACCCAGTGTGCCTCTTACAGATATTGGAGTGCTATGAGTGCGGAGATGCCGTGGGGAATGGGGCCACCGAGGGAGTTAGAGTTGAGATTACTGTGTGGGGTTGAATGGTAAGTAGAAAAACATTATCACTTGGCTCAATAAATCAGTAGGAAACGAAGTTTGGGCGAAGATACAAGAGCCTCAAATCCCTGTCCAAAGGGTGGCTGGAACCTGGAAGAATCGATAATAGATCAGTTATGGGCAGAGCAACGCGGTTGAGATTGTTTAGAAGCAGAATTCTGCCGAAGCAATGAATATGTGGTTCCAAAAAAGTACAGCAGGTAAGTTGGTGTAGCAGGGAGGAGCAAGAAGCTGCGAAGGGATGCAGACAGCAAAGTGCGGGAGTGAGCGTGCAGAGTGCATGGGCAGAGGAGGAGTGCCAGCAGTAATGCGCACATGGCATGCAGCACCCAGTGGACAGAGCAGCACGCAGGTGGAGCAAACCCAGTGCGCCTCTTACAGCCATGTGAGTGCCGTGAGCGCGGAGATGCTGTCGGGAATGGAGCTGTCGAAAGAGTTAGAGCTGAGATCCCTGTGTGGGGTTGAGTGCGTTGAGCGTGATGAGACAAAAGGCAAAGTCCCTGTCTGCAGCAGCTAAGTTGGATTGAAAGCTCACACGTGGATGATGGACGCCAGACGCAGCATCAGTCTCAGATGCTGAATGCTTGGCAATACTGCGTTTTCTTTTGTTTCTTTCCAGTCAGGCTGGGAAAACAAATGCCACGTTGACCGCGATTTGCAACTTTCACGTAAATGTAACTCTTAGAATCAAAATGCCTATTCGGCATCCCAACGATCCAACCGATCTTTTTCTTCCCAATCGAACTTCACCACATTAAATCTAGAGTTTCCAACCAGCGCACAACCCATCCTAGATGAGAAGATTTAAACAAACGGTGACATACTGGCTTCAAAATCTAGTCAACCTCCTAGGTTATTAGCGTTAGAGTAGCCCCTCCACCCCCAACCTATTGCTGAAGTTTTAGTACCTGCCCAAATTTGTTTTGCCTGCGTGGACTAACGTCCAACAGGGGCTAGGCAAGCGCCCAGCATCTTGTCACTAACCTCCCTCCAAGACACTGGACTGGTTAAGCCAACACAGGCGTGGAGACGGTGACTGAAACTTAGAAGGACTGATCAGTTCGAAAAGGGTAAAGCAAGACAAGCCACTGCAGAGAACTGACTGAGTTTGCGGACTGCAGTTGTTTCCAAACCAATAAACACGTTGATTCAAGGTTAAGGAAGAAAAGCTTCAACTCCATGTCCACCAGCAGGGAGGAACAAGGAGTGGCGAAGCACAAAGCAGAGGGCGGGGCGGAGGCGGGGAGCACGCAGGTGGAGCAAACCCAGTGTGCCTCTTACAGGTATTTGAGCGACTTGAGTGCAGAGATGCTGCTGGGAATGGAGCTGCTGAGAGTGTTATGAGAGCCAAGATCCCTGTGTGCGGGTGATTACACAAAGGTTCAATCCTTGTCCGCAGAGGGTGGCTGCAACTTAGAACTGATGATCAGGTCACAAGGGCTATAGCAATGAAAACAGACGCAGAGGATCGACTGAGATTGTAGAAATTACGATTGTGTGGAGGCAGTTGTGAGATCTGCCGAAGCAATAAACACGTGGATTAGTGGATTGAATAATCTCGAAGTATATCAACAAGGGGGAACACGGAGGTGAAATATGATGCAGACAACAGAGGGGTGGAGGAATGGAGTGGGCATGCAGAGCGCATGGGCAGAGGAGGAGTGCCAGCAGTGATGCGCACATGGCATGCAGCACCCAGTGGACAGAGCAGCACGCAGGTGGAGCAAACCCAGTGTGCCTCTTACAGCCATGTGAGTGCCGTGAGTGCGGCAATGCCATCGGGAATGGCTCCCTCGAGATAGTCAGAGTTGAGATTTCTGTGTGGGGTTGAGAGTTAGACCGATGAAACGAGAGACACAAAGCCCTGTCCACAGAGGGTGGCTGGAGCCTGGAGGGATTGATAAGTTAGGGGCTAGAGCAAGCCAATTGAATGCAGAGTACTGACTGAGATCGTAAAGGTTGAGATTGCATATTGGCAGCTGTGAGATTTGCCAAAGCAGCAAATGCATGACTTCCATGAAACATAGCAGCTGGGAGGAGCACAGAGTGGAGATGGGATGCAGAATGTGGGAGGCATGGGCATGCAGAGTGCATGGGAAGTGGAGGAGTGCCAGCAGTGATGCGCACATGGCATGCAGCACCCAGTGGACAGAGCAGCACGCAGGTGGAGCAAACCCAGTGTGCTGCTCACATGTATTTGAGGGACTTGAGCGCGGATATGCTGTTGGGAATGGAGTCACTGAGAGTGTTATGGCTGAGATCCCTGTGTGGGGTTGAGCGAGTTGAGCGGGATGCGGGAAATGGGACAAGAGGCTCAAAACCCTGTCCACAAAGGGTGGCTGGAATTTAAAAGGCATGATCAATTTGGAACGGTTAGGGAAAGGCAAAGGTAGAAGAGATGTAGAAAGCAGAGGGGGACAAGCAGCAGAATAAATGGGCTGAGTCAGCAGTGATGCGCGCATGGTATGCAGCACCCAGTGGACAGAGCAGCACGCAGGTGGAGAAAATTCTGTGTGCATCTTACAGGTATGTGAGTGCTGTGAGCGCGGAGATGCTGTCGGGAATGGAGCTCGTGAAAGAGTTAGAGCTGAGATCCCTGTGTGGGGTTGAGTGCGTTGAGCGTGATGAGACAAGTGAATCACATTCCGGTCTACAGACAGACAGCATCTCCGCGCTCTGGCATGGGTGCCAAGGTGACAAGATTAGACACATTGTCAAGTATCTTTTCAACCGCACGCATGCAAGAAAGGGTACGTCCATCTTGATATGAGCATCGAACCGAACTTAAGTTCGGTTCGAAATGTTCGGTTTGAGTTATCTCGAACCGAACTTTTTTTTCTGCGAAAAAGGTTTGTTTGAGCAAACCCCGAAAAAGTTCGCGCGAACAGTTTGCGCAAACTTTTCCGGTTCGAGATTTGAACCTCAAACCGAACAGGTTCGAGGTTCGAAAGGGTCAAATTCGAACCGCGAGGGGTTCGAAGTAAATTAACGTCAGAAAGAATACGCTCGCGACTTTCCCGTCAAAAACGGGAAAGTCGTACGTTGGCTGCCAGTTGAGGCAGCCAACCCTAATCTCGTAGCAGAGTAGATATCGAGATCTAGATCAACTCTAGCTCACCCAATGCCTCCCTCCCCACTACCGTTCTTTCACCTCAGCTCCAACTTAGGATGTGTCAAAACTTAACTTGTTTGTTAGGTTTGACAGTTTAGTGATGCTGTCCATAAACCATTGGACATGCATGTGTTGTAGAATAACATGTGCATCATTCTAAACCTCAAACATGAAAAGGTTTGAGTTCGCTCAAACCTTAGAAGGTTTGAGCAAACCTTTAGGGTTCGCCATTGTATACTCAAACCTCAAACCTTAAAAGTCTGAAAAAAGTTCGAGCAAACCTGTTCGGTTCGGTTCGACCAACATTCAAGGTTCGAAAAGGTTTGCGCAAACATGTTTGAGTTCGGTTCGTGCTCATATCTACGTCCATCCACTTCATACTGCTAAACTTAAAAGATTTTAGTACCTAAAAAAAAATCTCCATTGGCAAACCATGGGCCATGGGCCACACAAAGGTGACATTGGTGAGGCCTTCGTGGCCGCGGGGGGTGCGGAGGTGGTGGGTGAGAGGAGGGAAAATGTGGGGGTGCCCACCAGTGCGGAGCAAGGGCAACTTAAGGCCATTGCTGGCTACTTGGTATATGGTATGCATGGCACAGGTAAGTCATCAGACAGGTAGAGCTAACTTAGTGTGCATCTTACAAGTGTGTCAGTGCCTTGAGCGCAGAGATAATGCCAATGATGGAGCCGTTGAGGTGGGCATTATTGCCAAGATCCCTGTGTGGGGTTGAGTGAGTTGGACATCAAATTCCATAGGCTGGATCGTTCTTGGAAGGACTGATCAGTAATGGGCTAGAGTATCAAATTCCTGTCCACGCAGCGTGGCTAGAACTTGGAAGGATTACTCAGTCAGGGAGGGGCTAGAGTAAGGCAAGAAAATGCAGTGCAGAGGGGGGGATGGGATCATAAAGGTAGTTAATATATACATGATAGGCATGAGCGCAGCCATGAAGCACGGTGCAATTCGGTTCGGTTTTCCCAAAACCAAACGTGTTTACCAATTTGACCGGTTTGTTAACAACATAATCTGCACCAAACTGAGCCAAGTCGTGCAATTTTGAACATCACAGATAAAACCAGAGTCTTAAAGCTCATTTCAAGCTCCAACTCTATTACAGACACTTCCACCTAACACAAAAAATGCATGTCGCGAACACACGCCAAAAATGCGACTCCATATTTTCACTTGACAGCCAAGACCTAAAACTCGCAAACCCACAAAGGTGAAGGAGAGAAGGTGTTCGTGGACGAGTACAAGTAGAGGGTGCTCCATATTTATAGAAAGACTAACACACAAACAAAATAAGAATACTACTTAGTGCTAAACTACATTTTTTAACTTGGGAAACCGTTTTCAAACTTCATTGAAAAAAAGTCCTCCAAACGAATCTGCTGACTCATTTAAAAGGCATTCATGAAACCCACAAGAATTCTCGAAGGGGGCAAGCTAGCATGATCGCTTGACGCGATCATGCACTTTCATGTTGCGATCATGAGCCTGAGGGGCCACACGCGAAATTTGGACCCCACGCGCAATCCTGATTCTTGCGCTATTTTCCTTGAACAACGCAAGATATTCAAGGGGGTAGAAAAAAAAAAGGCCCCTCAAGAATACTTATACCTCTTTATGAACACGAAAATTATGAAAACTCATGAACTTTCATGAACGCACAAAGTGACATGAACACACACAAAAAAACATGAACCGTGTATTAACACTCATGACAAGACAAGACTGCAATGGTCCAAAAAGATTCATGAACGCTTGAACTTCACGCACAATCATGACGACTCACGACACCACGAACAAACACATCACTCACAAACATTCATAAACACTCATGAACTCTTATGTATGCAACACTAAAAAGGAAAAGAAAAGAAAAAATCGCATAACTCCGTTGAGGCGAATCTCGTTCGGTTCATCGCAAAATCGTTCGTGACGAATTTAACTAGGGTTCGGGGCATTGCTCATGGCTAGTGGCAATTGTGAGTTCTTTAGAAGCGGCAAAAGCATGAGGCGCATGAGGCACATCAGCAGGGAGGATCATGAAGCGCAGAAAGCAGAGGGGGAGGAGTGGACATGCACAGTGCGTGGGTAGGGGAGGAGTGCCAGCAGTGATGAGCAGATGGCATAGCGCACCCAGTGGGCAGAGCTGCATGCAGGTCAAGCAAACCCAGTGTGCCGCTTACAGGTATGCGAGTGACTTGAGGGCAGAGATGCTGTCAGGAACGGGGCCATTGAGAAGGTTGGAGTTGAAATTGCTGTGTGGGATTGAGTTAGTTGGGACGTAATGAGACAAGTGGCTCAAATTATGGGTGGTTAGAGCCTGGGACATGGAAGGATTGATCACTAAAAGGACTGACTGGCTGAGATTGAGGAGGTCAAATTTGCCTAGCGCAAGAGTTTGTTGAAGCAATAAACACAGGGTAATCAGGCCGCAAAAAAAAGTGGTGCATAAGAAAACGGTCGTAGAAAACTGTTTAGTACCGTTCCGGCTGGTGTTTTTCGTTTGGTTGAAAAAAACTATTGTTCTATACGGTCGTTTTCTCCAAGACAAGATCGTTAACAAGAAAACGGCTGTTTCCGTGAAAACGGCTGTACTAATTAGACCGGTGTTCTACGGCAACCGTATTTTCTAACCTTGAATACAAATTAGTACAGCAAATAGGTTGGTGCAGCAGGGAGGATCAAAATGTGGCAAAGCAATGCAGACAGTAGAGGGGTGGAATCAGTGGGGACTTGCAGAGTGCGTGGGCTGAAGGAGTGCCAGCAGTAATGCCGCATCCAAAAAGTGCGCGGCGCACATGGCATGCAGCACCCAGTGGACAGAGCAGCACGCAGGTGGAGCAAACCCAGTGTACCGCTTACATGTATGTGAGTGCCGTGAGCACAGAGATGCTGTCGGGAATGGAGCCGGTGATAAGGGGACTGACAACTTGAAGGTTTCTGTATGCGGAAAGTTGATTGGGCGTAGTGATGGCGTGAGAGGGAGGGGGGGGCGGCAACACACGCTTTTGATCAATGTTGTTGAGTAGACGAGACGGCACGCCTCGCATGGGGATGGATGCATTGGTTCATAAAAGAAGGAGAAGACAATGTTAGGAGAAGGATAAAGGACAAGACAGGTGGGAGAGATGGGGCTGGGAGCTGAGGGAAGCAGCTGCGAGGAAGCAGTTGGTGCGAGGATGGATGAGGCGTCTGATCCATGGTCCAGGATTCCATGCATGCACTCACAAATCCGTTATCATGCCTGAAGCGTCACACGTGATCCCTTGCTCACTGTTGCAAACGGCTTTCACCGTCCACCCCGGCAACGTCGTCCCCCATGCCGTCTGGATGTCGTTGAGAAACGACGCTGACGCGTTGGGGAGAGGAGGAGGGCAAAAGATAAAACGCGTGACACCGACTGACTACATTAGGCTGCGAGACAGGCGGGGAAAACGAGCACGGTGAGAGGGGAGGCCACCTCCCTCCCTCTCTCCCCAGATTCACAAATAGGGAAAGAGTCTCAGAACAGCCTTCGTCCGAGCAGTCAAAGGGTGAGAGGAGCGTGAGTGGTAGGGCGGGAGGTACTACTACTATAAGCACCTTGAGAAGGATTGATCCGCTGCGCGTGGCATGACGAGGCATTGAAGGCGACAAGCCAGAGCGCCAGGCGAGTGCTGGGGTACTAAGCCCTGATGCTCGTTTGGGATTCATCGAAGCGCCGCCGTTCTAGCTGGAATCGACGTCGGCTCAACCCGGAATTAAACTGAGACACTGACGACGAGTGGCTATGAAGCGTACTTACTAGTATTGCTGCCGGCGGCGCTAGTACTACGACACCGACTAGTAGGAGTGGAGGAGTCGAGTCGGCTTTGCGCGGAGGGGCGCCCGGCGCTGGTACTACTGGCAGTCAACCTTCTGAGACCGCGACAGCGTGTGTCACACCGACAGTGATGTGGTAGTGGGCGTGTAACGCCTGTGGGCTACAGTTAGGGCATCCAGTGCGCCTAAATAACTCCGTCACCCTCGTTTTGACGTAGGGTAGTGAGGGGAAGTTGGCGGTGGAAAAATGAAGGCAAGAGAGCCTCCCTGGCACTGCCAGCGGCAGAGGAAGGGATGTTGTGTTGAGCAGAAAGCAGTAGCGTAGATGTGGCTCGATGGCTGCTGTCAAGTGTCGATCCAAGCAGGGCAGGACGAAGAATGGGAGGTCGAAGGTGGTCCGAGGAAGGTTTGAGGGGAAGGTCGGGATCGGAGCGGATGCGTGGACATCGTTATTGGCTGGTCACTGCCGGCTCCTCCTCACACCGCTTTCCGTACCTCATACCTCCGCACCACACCTCCTACAGGTATAAAGGCGAGGATAAGGTTGTTTGTCGACCTGTGCCGAGGCTGGATTGAGAACCAACCAACGCATGACGCGGAGGTTCCGCGGATAACTTGGTTTTGTCCCGCCTCGTGTCTTCCCTGTTGCCTAAGTGAGGGGAGGAAGGCGTCCCTCCCCACCCACTTCCCCTTCAGGTGGGGAAAGGTCAGGGGGGAAGGTCCGAGCGGGCGGGTGGACGCACGGCGACTCCACGTCCTTAGTGGCTGCCTTGGACAATTATTTCCAAACCTTTTCCCTCGGACAATTATCTTTAGGGCGGGTCCAGCGCGTACGTTTACAGGTACTAAATCAGACGGTGCACAGAGGTTTTGGAATCACATCGTTTTTAACCGTGACGCAATACAGATTACCGCACTGGATGAACTGTAATGTACGGAAAACGTACGCGCTGGAGTAGAAACGCCTTTGGCGGTCCAAAGGCTTGGTAAAAATCTACACTTCTATATTAACGATACTACAAACAACTAAGATGTGTATGAAAGTGTCCAAACTAGACATCTCCATTCCTCTAGGGAACAAGACATGCAATTAGTCGTATCTCTGTCAGTTCAATCATGAGGCTTTATTCCCGTCTACGTTCACTTCATGATACTGGCAGTTGTGTGATGAAATAAATTCTTCGCAAAATCCATGGTACAACGCGCGTCATAGGTTCTCCCACATCATTATTAGTCATGACCATAATCCTGTTACTGGTACCACAACTGACCTTTGCACAATCTTGGTTTGACAATTGCTGATGTTCCCAATAGCTTTGCCAAGTGCACTTATGGAAGGTTCATATTGCATTGTTGCCTATAATGAACTCGGTTAGAGTTATGTGTATACAACGAATGGTGTACGCATCAAGTTGTCTAGAGTCATTCACAACTTCCAATCCAAAGCCTCTCACCCACCCGCCTATCCACCCACCCATTACTCCGTGCCTAGAAAACGCAATGGCTCATTTAAAGAACCAACAACCTCCATGATTCTTGTCCCCTTTATTGGAAACGAGTAATTTAACGCTCCTATTGTGTCGAAACAATAGACTGCAAACGAGGCGAATCACAGCGGAGCAACGGCGAGTCAACTGAGGAGGTTGTCAGAAGGTAACAGCTGAAGGTTACGCGAAGGTCAAAGGTCAGCGACCTTTGACTCGACAAAATACAGCGCGATAGCAAGGACAAACAACTGACTCTGTATTGAGCAGTTGCCCGAGTCCTCACTGTATCGAACCGCAACAGCAAAACAGTTAGCTGCACCTTTTCATATTCCTTGTAATCTTATAAAAGCCTTTGTATTACCTTGCTATAATCAATCTCTTGCTCTCACACACTAGTGCAAGCTGGTTCAACAAGTTACTAAAACGCTTCCGCAATTAGAACATTCCTACTCAGGATCTTAGCCTTGAAAAGATCCTAAGGGCTTTACTCAGCCCAACATGGTATGAGAGCTCACAAGGCAAGATCCAACTTCATTAACATTCCTACAACGATAGAGGGCATGTCAACACAGAAGGAGAGGAGCTCCTCTAACGGCTATCCTGGTACCACTCCTACTCCACCTCCAGCCTCTGGCCTACAGGCAGAAGGAGGCACAGCGACACGACCAGCAGCTGAGTCTACTGAAACTCCTGCGAACCAGGCAACAGGCTTCGACCCAAGCATGATGGAGAAATTGTTCTCCTTCATGTCCTTCTACGAGCAGCACCAGCAAGCAGCACCTGCGCAATCAAACAACAGCGACAACAACAATGGCGTTACTCCAATGAGCCTTGACAGTTCATCCTATGCGCGCGGAAACCAGCAGCAACCCACCTTTGCTCCGTACGAGCCTCAACGCGGCTCCATAAGCTTCATGCCACACCAGCAGCCCTCTCCTGGACAAGAAAAGACACTGGACGTGCTTCAAGTTCAATCGCAGTTCGCGCACGTCTTGAAACTGCAGACATCGACGCCTTTCGACGGCAAAGACTTTTATACCTGGTCGTTTGAGTTCGAGCTGATGATGGAAGGCGCGCAAATCCTCGGATTCTTCGACGGTTCCCTGCCATACCCAACGCACGGAACACAGAACGACAAGCAGCAGTACACGTATCAGTCGCTGATGGCATACACAATCCTGCTACGGAACATAACGACGAACGAGCAGCAGAACATCCGGTCTTATCGTGGATATGGCAACTCCGCGGAGCTCCCGTACAACCACCTGAAGAACCTATATCAAGCAACAGACAGTGTTAATCAAAGCTGTCTCATGGTATAGCTGACAACAGTGGAAATGAAACCCGGCAAAAAAGGGATGGCGTATATCAGCCGTTGTCGTGGACTGCACGACAGACTCCTTCGATTCGGAGGATCGATATTTGAAGAAGCCTTCGTGACAGCTATCATCACTGGCCTCGGTCCTCATTGGCGCTCCACTCGAGCCATTCTCTGCGCTCACAGGAAGATCTTCGAAGCGACACTCTGAGCCGAAATTCACGCTGAACAGCAGGACATGGACCTACACGAAGAACGCCACAAGAAAAGAGCGTCAGCACCTGAGTTCGCGTTTCACACCCAACGGCGCTACAACAACAATCGACATAACAAACATCAAGCTCAACAGTACGTACCGCCATTCTGCCATCTCTGCAAGACGCCAGGACACCCTCGAACTCACTGCCCGAATCAGCAACAGTCAACACCGCTGCAACGTCAACTTCGACCTTCAAGTAGTCAAGTGGCTTCGACACAGGCACATCCAACTACTCAAGTAAAGTCTTCAACGACATCGACAACACAACCTGCACAAGGTTTAAGAAACATCGTGAGCTGCATGGCAAGAATAGCGGACTCCTGCATCACCGAATCGCCACCACACTACTCACCAGAAGAACTGCTCGATGAAAGCACTCCCCGCCGCGAATCACTGGAGCCCCAACCCGACGTACGCAACCATCGCCCAGAGCGAGCCGTCCGGGAAAGACACCTGGTTCTTGGACAGCTGCTGCGGACAGCACATGTGCTCATCGGGTCGCTTCGTTCAACGGGAACATCAACTTCAGCGCGAAGTCGTAATCACCGTCGCCAACAACCAGAACCTGCGCACAAGACGGCAGGGGATAGTTCAACTTCAGTCTCGAGAAACCAACGTTATTCTGCAGATGTGAAAGGTTTCAATCGCAGAAGGACTCGGCTATAACTTACTCAGCCCCAGTCAACTAATGGCGAAGGGAATTCATCTCGAAGCAGACAACACCACTCAGGAGTTCAAGCTGTACCACCGGAGGGGTGGACTCTACATCGGCAAAGCAGACTTGAAGAACAATGTCTTCGTCCTTGACTTTGTTCCAGACCAAGGCACCACCGACAGCGACGCCATCGTCAATTTCACCTCTTGGACACACCCGCCAGATATCGACCCCGACTTCAGTCATGGAGGCTTCTGGTACTCGCACACTATACCAGAAGCAAAACAATCGAGAGCGTTAGTAACAATCCAACAAACCTTGGCAGTAGGAGAGACAACATCGGCAGCAGCAGAAACAACACCGGCAGCAGCAGAGACAACATCAGCAGCAGCAGAAACAACACCGGCAGCAGCAGAGACAACATCGGCAGCAGCAGAGACAACACCGGCAGCAGCAGAAGCAACACCGACTATGACACCAATCGCGGGTCCTTCAACGGCACCAGTCTTCATCGACGATACTCCACCGACTCATGCGCAGCAGTTGACTCCAACTCCACGTGAAGTTCACAGAAGCGCCAACCTCACCGCGGGATTCTACTCCAACTCCGATATGTACAGGCGTTCACTAGGACACCGCGCCAACGAATTCATCTGGCATGCAAGGATGGGACACCCGAGAAACACAACATTAAACAACACAATAAGAGCTGGAGTACTCGACAAAGACTCACTGCTACTACAGGACGGCATAGATCTTCAACGAGTTCGCGGAACATGTTTTACCTGCCCTCAAGCCGACTTACCCCACCAGCCGTTCGTCTCTCATC